GTCCTAAACTAGGAATATGTTGACTCGATGTAGAATTATTATTATTAAGTGAAGGAATTGATATATTTTGTCCTTTCAAAGATGATTTCAAGAGGTTGAGGCAAAGCTTTATTTGGAGACGGTATTGGTGGAGGTGACGACTTGGTTTTAGTGGTTTAGTTACATAATTTGGATTTTTTACTTCACCAATATGGATTATCAAAGTTTTACGACGTTTTAGTTGGCTACCAGATTGAGATGAATTTAACGTAGACATATTTCAACTCTAAACATACATTGTTCTCCCCCAGTTTCACTAAGGACAAAGACGTCTGAAAAACTAAAGCGACTTTCACCTACGCCGTCCATTACCAACGAAAAGTTCTAGGATGCGATATCTTGAAGGTAGAAGACTCTCGAAAATTGCCTGTAGGACAGGATCATTCGTTGAGGATAACGACATGCGCGACCTTGTTCGTAGGAAGGTTTTGATGACTTTAAATTTCCAGCAATAAGGTTTTCATGTGCCGAAGCAACACGGAGACCATCATCGATAACATTTCAGAACACCGCCTTATCCTTTTTTTTTCTAGGATTCGGCTCTGTTTCTTCCATTGTTCTAATGGATGGTTATTGAGCACGAGTTAATAACATAAATGCAAAAGGGTAATGTAAACATCATGACTTACCAGAAGATTCTGTGTCAGCATCGTCTTTTGCTCTTCCTTTTGTTCAAAATTTTAGTCCAAGTTATATTGAAAATAGATTCTAATTTTTCAGCCGATTGGTAAATCTCACTTTCAATATAATTATATGTATAACAATTACGAAATATTAAACGAATATATTTCTCGAATTCTTTTGTACTTGTGTATTGATTATTTTTTAACTTTGAATTTATAGTAAATAAATCCATCGGATGCTTTACTGAAAACCTCCTTTTCAACATATTTATAAAATATATGAGCACAAGAGTTATTTTCAAGTTCACGAAGAACGTCACAACAGAAATTGATAAGTTCAAGATTTGGAGATGCAACAGCAGGCACTAGGTTCTCTTTTTCGCGTTCCTTGATAACTCCCTGCCAATATTTTTGTAATTCTTTCGCATAACGTGAACGTTCTGTCTTTACCTGTTGTGAGAAAGAAGCTTGTTAGCAATGTGATAGTGCGCTAACTT